AGTGTTGCTAACGATCACGTGATATCAACAACCACTTGATAGTATTGCCTGAACTAACTGCCTTTGGTCCCGTGTGAGTCTAAATACACGCACTGATTGGTTGAATTGAGAGAAAGAAGAAAAACAAAATGGTGCAAAATTAGTAATGTGTTGTGAAACCATTCCTGAAAAAAACATGAATCCGCCATTAAAATCCTAGAAACGAAGTTCGATTTAGGACTTAAAAGAGTCAAGAATTGTTCTAGGTTCGTATTCTATTTAGAATGAATAAAATGGAAGGAAATACTTGATGCCAAAATAAAAATTTTAGTTACCATGGTGACCTGGCACCCAGGATATGTCGAAGACTGACTTAAGATAAATAATTGCAATTTTCTGTTACAATCTGGTCATTCTAGAAAGAAAAAAGGGTAATTTTTTGTAGTGGTTACAAAGTCAGTGAAATCGACCGAGTCCGTACTGAGGTAGGGTATAGAAAATAACAGACAAACTATAAAGTTTTACTTAATAAAAAACGTTTGATATTTATTTAGGAAGGTTTTAGAGGTTATGCAAATAAAATTTGAAACTGTAAGGTCAACAAATATTTTTAATCTTAACATGAAAATCGGCTTTCATCCAGATTAGTCAACACTGTGACTTCCTATGTTCATGGACAAATCTGTATTTAAAAATACTTGAACAAAATCAGATTTTTTGTGTACAAAAGACCCGAAATGTTTACTTAAAGCTTGCCAAATTTTTTGCGTGTATTCTCACTTTCTGTAAACAGTCATAGATTGTTTTATTTTAAAGATGTCATACTTGAAAAATTGTGTTACTTCATGTATTTCAGAAAAAAATGTTTACTCTATATTTTTAATACTTCACCAATATTAAAGTTAAAACTTCACGAGCTATTTTGATAAAAGAGTTAGCACAAAGGATCACATATAAAGTGTAATAGACTTAAAATAAGAACCAAAACTTGAGCACTTTCGATTAGTTCTTCTTTGTTATCCTGAAGAAGAATAGTCAACTATTCGAAA